ACAAAATTTATGGTAAACTCGAGGAATGAAACGTAAAACGAGAAAAGATGAGAAACGAGATGAGAAACGCGGATATAAAACGTGAAGAGAAACGTGAAATAATCGATTTCCTTCGAGGGTTGGAAGGCGAAAAAATGAATCGCTCGAGTGGGTCGAAAGACAAACGGAAAGATGAAATCTTCGTTACCTCACGAAAGTAACCAGTTTACTCTTTGATCTCTGGTCCAAACAGTAAATTAGTGTCGTTTTCCTCCGCGCGTCTTTGTCTTCGTTTTAAGGAAGAACGAAAGGACCTAGAGAGCGTAGGAGCAAACGAGACGTGGCATGGAATGGAAATCTAGACCGGGGGAAATTGCTTCTGGTAGAATTAATATGGTAATACCTTTGTCTCGTGGAAGCAGAGGAATGTCATATCGCGCGTTTTCGTCGAAGAATGAGTCTTTCCGTCTGCGTGGTCGGAGGAAAAGAAAAAGAAGCAATTGAACGAACAGGGATCTCTATTCTCCCACCTGCCCCCTGATATTAGGATAAAATATTCTAGGAACGAGTTGTTATGGCTGTCGTTTACAATCACCAACAAAAGATTCATGTTGTATCGTATGGAAAATCGCGAAAGTGGAAGAACTGATGTTACTTATCGATACTCTAAGAATGCAAAACATAACAATACTAAAAAATCATTTAATTACTCGTTTGTTCGTACAACAGTGCAGAAATATTACATATGCATCAAAACCACGTTCACAGACTACGTATGCAGGATTAACTATCTAGGCACTTGTGTTTCCATGATATTTTAAACACGTCGCCATAGCAATTGTAACTAAATCATTTTTTTCCGTGCCCGTGAAGCGAAACACTGTATTCCCTGAACACCGGCACATTAGGTCCAAAAGACCTCAACGTCAACCCTTAAGCCATAGCCAAATCCAAATCCCGGGCAAGGGTCCACAACGACGGTCACAACAGGTGAAATGCATTCCAAATAACCCTATTCCACGGAGCAATTGAAATTCCTCGATCCGGCGAGCAGCCCTTGAATTACGATCTGGCTTTCGTCGTCTTTGAGGTTGCGAATCCGACTCCGCGATTATTCGGCCAAGCTGGAACATCCGCATCCGGCCCGGAGCAATGAAGATAACGGAAATGACGACCGGCGAAACCAGACGCCGTTTGGCTTTAAATAGAAGCAACCGGCTAACGCACACCGACGCGGCCCGCGAAGTTTCGCCCGGGCGGAAATCCGCCGAGTTATGCGAGGCTTTCAGCCAGGAGGGTCCTCCGCAAGATCCTTTTGTCAGCTGGACGAGCATGCGAGAACCGCGAAGAATTTCACGTGTTCGCGGGGGCGACGGAGCGATACGAGAAACGATCGATGCCTCCACGGCGGTTCTCCAGACGCCCAAGAGACACCCGAGAGGCCCTAGGCGACCTTAGGTGACCCTAGATTCGACATTACGCTAAATCGAGTTATGTGGCCTAGAATGCGCGGGTCGCGAGCCGATTAACCCTTCGTGTATGGGCGTGTGCGTGCACGGAAAGTCTGGGGTAAGCGTACGTGTCTCCCGAGTTCCGTCGAGGAAACCAACGAAGTAAAAAAAATTCTCCCGAGGAAAGCAGATATCCGGATAATGGACGTAGTCATGCGAGAAATGGACGGTAGTGCACCGAGGCTTGTCAGTATGTATTTATGAGGTCGTAAACGTGGCCTGGCTCGGGTGTAACGGCATCGACACCCCACGGACACAAGGACAGCGACGATTTCCAACTGTCCCCATGGAGCGACCTAATTGGCCGACTAGTGAGTTCGTCACTCGTTTGTGAGCACACTTCTGACATACGATCCTTCGTACATGCGAAGGATTTCGCTCGAAGTTTCCGACTAATGATTTTTCCAAGGCTCCTTTCGCAAAGAATCTTGCGAACTGCTCCTACGGAGGTCGGATATCCGTCAAGGCGTTTTGAACTTCCGGGTCTTCTGACCCGGAAGCAAGCCAAAGTATCTCAACTAGATTCAGATTAAGCATAATGTGAACAATTGAAGTTAATTCCTCTCCATTTATTAGACTGTTTTGACTGGCATATTTCACATTAAATTGGCTATGCAATTAAAATGTAATACGAAACAACTTACTACTGTAATAAATAAGAATGTAAACAACAAGAAAATTTAGAAATGTTATCGATTTAGATGTAAATAAACTATTCACGTGCAAGTAAGGTTCGCGAACGACGTAATTTCTGCCAGTTATCAGTGAACTTACCTGGAATTAAGAGAATGAGGAACGGGCAGAAAACAGTCGACACGATGTCAATACGTTATCGACAAGTGGAAATGAGAATTTTTAACGCGTAAAGTAAATTCTTATCATCCACTTCAATGGAAGTATGGATTAAACGTATATTAATGGCTAAAAACTTCGATGAATTCCCTTTTCTTAATCCTCTATCTTATACTCGTGCACACGTGACGAAGTCCAAGACTAACACGTAGCGTTTTGTCGGGTCGTATCCTTTTACGAAAAAGTCTCCAGGAAGCGTTCTAATTGGGTGATGGGAGGTCGTCATCCGTTTGCGGTCTCGTTCTTGGTGTACATACAAAGGATTTCGCACGAATCCCCAACGAATGGCGGCTCTTTCGAGGCCTATTTTGCGTGGAGTGCTGCGAGCTTCTCTCAGGGGAGGCCGGATATCCGTAGAGGTTCCTCCGTCCGATCCGGATCGTGCCATGGTGTGAAAAATTCAAATAATCTCATCTCCATTTAAACGGGATGCTGGAAGGCACTGGGGGGCAATTTGCATATTACGAGACGCCCACGGAGCTGCGCCTGCGCACCACCAGGTCCGCATTATCCGCGGAATTCTAAATGTACACCTTCGAGCACGAAAACGCTCTCAGGGTGTGTGCGAAAAGAGTGTCGCCGGATCCTCGACGTTGACGAACTCCAGGAAACTGTTCACGTGGGCATTTCGACCCCTGCTGAGGAAACGCCTCCTTCTCGAGGAAGCGTCTCCTCGGGGAAAGCTCTATCAATCGAGGAAGTGCCTTCTCAACGGGAACACCGAAAAGGAATAACTTCAATTGTCTGCAAAGGGTACCGAATCGGGTCGTTCAATGGACTTCAGAGGAGTTATGCGTAAGTAGTTGAGAATCTCTTCTCTCGTCGACGATCATCCAATCTCAGCTACAATTTCTAAGTTTTCACATTTTTGCAGAGGATTTCTGGAAATTAGTTTATCAGGTATCGGATGGAAAAATTCGATGGAGCGCTCAGGATCTTCTCTATGTAGTAGGCCTAAAGCATTCCGCTTCTCGGCGGTAAAAAATTGAACTTAACACTAAAACTACCAAGACCAGTCAAAATGACTGGTTTCAGATGGCCCATCCCATACAAAAAAAAAGTCCGCCGGTAGCTCTAGTGTTAAGGATATCGTTCCACGTGTGTTATATTAAAAAATGTTAGTTCAAATTATAGCGATTTCGACGCAGGAATTACTCTGAATGAGACACGGACAAAATATTATCTATACGATATAGTCCGACTCGGACAATGCGTTAATCGCATTTCATTTAACCGACGAAGCTCGCAATGTTCGGTTCCATTGTACTCTTTTGCGTCGCAGGCCATACTCTTGTCAAGGAGGACGTTCGTCGATATCTCCGCTTGGGAAAAAGGCAATTCCTCCAAAATCTCGACGGATTTTACACCGAGGGGTTAAAGCTACTTCCGGCGCTGAAGATGAGGGGCTTTTAGAGCTCGCTCTAGGCACGATAATAAAATTTATTGCTCCATTGAGCGTTGCCGGAGTGAGAGTACTTACTGGGATGTCGGCACACACGACGTCAGATAAACGGGGGTACATCCCGTGCGAGCGACGTAAACTTGTGTAGGGCATATCGTAAGTTGGAATTCTCGTGGAATAGCTAGGAAAGACACGTTGACGTAGACCGGCGAACTTGGAGCAGTTTAAAGGGCAACAAGCGCTGGATCCCTTAAAGTGCTCACCGTAAATGATTGGGATTAGTTTCGTCTTCGTAATTCATGTGCCTACGAGATGGATTACCATGATTTTTCATGTTTTCAAGCAATTCGATTATGTAAACGTGATATGATTTATCTTGTCTGTTACACTTCTGTTAGTTAATTCCACTGACAACTTTTCGTGAAAGTGATTCTTGGTGGAATGTAAACCACAGGTGACATTCTAAATCTGTCTGCTTTTAGGTTAGTAATACTGAATGTCCGGGATTCCTTAATCTAAATTTCGTTTTCTAAAATATTTTAGGTATCTTTCTAGCGAGCTCCCAATGTATCTAGGCTTTTCGCGTTAATAATCCTAAAGATTTCATGCATCTTACAAATAAAATAAAACTATTGAGATTGTGAGATTGAATTATCTAAAATGGAGCGGAACCAATACAGGAACTGGAGCTATCACATTCGTTAAATTTCGCGATCCGTTCGTCCTAAACGAACTCCTCTTCTATTGCCCTCTCAAGATATAAATTCATTACGCCATAAATTGTGGACGTGATTTCCTGTGTACTCGTATGATGCCCGCGTCGTATAAGAAAAGTTTGACCCACTCGTATAAAAAGTTTTCCTTTTTCAGTCTTCCTGCCTCATCCCTGAGGGAAAATTCTTGTGTACGTATGCCTCAATTTCTGTAGTTCAAAGTTCAAGCGAGATTGTGAAATCGTCCGTTTTAAAATTGACATTGAAAATAAGGTATTATATTTTGGTTCGTATGACATAACGAAATGATGGGGAAATCATGACTCACTTAATGTTATACTTGGAGGAATATAACGACAACGTAGAATACAATGGTGTAATGCACGCATAGAAACATAAAAGATATTGAAATTTATTTATTAATTGAAAGATATTGAAGATTTTGAAATGAAGAAGTTGGAATCCGGCGGGAAATTAAAAATTTTATCGATGTCATCGCAATTTCCATGAGTTCTGAGAGTATAAATAGGTTAGAAGACTTACCACGTGTCGAAGGGTGATTCATTAAAATAGCTAATGGACACTCATCATCGTCAAGTATGTACTCTTGCTGTGCAGTGGAGTTGGTTGTCTCGCCATTCACCTATACAATGCAAATTTAAATAAATATTTAATATACCGGTCTTCTTACTATCTTAGGCCACACATAAAAAAACGTATAGAGTAAGTACGCAACAAATGCATTGAAAAGTATTAAAATACACCTATGTATTTATGTATATCTACATCCATAGAGCATTTGTTGCATTAACACTTGAATTACCGCATATTATTTCCCGTAGGCATACTCTAAGACCGGCGAAAAGAGATAAAAACGAGAAATCTCGTTGCCGGTCTTTTACATCTCAGCATTAAAACACGAGAAATCTCGTGAGCGGTCGTTTAAGTGTTAAGGTGATGTGAAAGTGGCGTCAAAGACGTCTCGTTTATGAAACGTTTCTCCAAACTGAACATACGGAATCGTTTCAAACTTTACAATGTGAATATGGAGATTATAAGGAAGGTCTTGTTATCTATGAAATTTCTTCTTTTTTTTTTTATATTTTTTACATGATTGCCAAAACCTTCCTTATAGCCTTCTTATTCATGTTGTAAAGTTTAAGACGATTCTGTGCACCCAATTCGGAGAAAGGTTTCATGAACTACTGACCCTTCAGATGCTATTTTCACATCCCCTTAAAACGTTTTGTGTAGCAAAATAAACGTGCTTGCTGTATGTGTCTTTGGTGTGAGGCCAGACATAGATAATATTGTAATACATTATGCCAGTCTGAATCATGGCTTCTGTTTAAAACAATTGATAAAGGTCATAAATAACCCATAGAAGCTAAACATAAATCTCGAGAAGTATTCTGAAAGATAAGTTAAAATAAAAGGATAAATTAATAAATCCTTATAGCCTTGACAAGTAAATTTCCGCTGTTATCTGATAGATAATAATCGTACTAATTTTGAAAATTAGAAGAGGCTACTTTGAAATCATAATGTGTTAATCATATCGTTTAACATGATCCTTTTCACACTCGTTAACATTAACAGGGTTTAATTTATGCACTGGTAACAATTGTTATTGGGTTGCGTAGCAAGGTAGCAGTTTGACGCAACCAATACGTTATCTGCCTTTACCGACCGAAGCTAACAAAAAGTTCACATTGATACCTTACGAATTTGCTACGCTTGCATTCCTTGAAGGAACCTACTTTAACGGTAGCCGATGCCTTATTGAAATACGTAAAATATTACCGACTCAACTAAAATTGACGCTTCCGTTGACTTTGCGAACATTGTATAAAGTATTTTTAAAACAGACATCAGTAAATTGGTCAATCACAAAACAATCTTCAATAACCATCTGTAAACAATTATTGCGATACTTTCATCATGGACTTTCTGCCTGAGTAATATTCAGCAGATTAACATCCCTGACGTCATCGTTATTATCGTTGATTCGACAGTCTTTCAAACGGTTCCCGAATTCCTTCACCGCAGTGTATTTGCAAACCACTCGATGATGTCAGGTAACGTAATCGCGAGTAAATGATACGGTAACATCGTGCATTCTCGCACAATTAAATAATTACACCTTCCTGACACAAAATTACTAATACGAATACTCATAATGCAACCGCACATAACTGTTGCACAATCATACGGAATGCCTCGTAGACATATATACTCGAAGTATCGAACTTTACAAGTTCAAAATGAACCTCTCATTAAGCTCACCTGCACTAAGCAGTACTGTTGTGGGTCAACTTTATCGAGCCCGTACTTGGACAGCATTTCTTTGACAACTTGGGCAGCGGAGTCTCTGACGCTGAGGAGTAACGTCTTGTAGGGAACATCCTTGCAGAGTGCCTCTCCATAAATTTTCAGAGTACCACCGGTGTCTGGACCACCGTCCTTACTCCGAAATTGTTGCAGTTTCCTTTCCAGTTTCTGCTGCCGACGTCGTCGCATCACCGCTTCAGGGTTTGAAATACTTCGCGTGAAACTCGTCTCTGGGAGTTCTGTAAAGAGGAAAATAATTGTTTACAAAAGGCGAAGTAGTATTTAAAATAGCCGTAGTTTTAGTTTGAATACCAATGATATGAATTGCGAAACTACTGTGTCAACATTCCAAGAAGTTGAATTCATAAGTTTCTGCTTTATATTACTGATTTCAAGATTACTTATGATACGGTCTCATGGATAATAGGCTTTGGCAACGTATTGTTTAATCGATGATAGCTTATCGCAAGGGCGACGATAAAATACATTGAAATATTTTATGTTTGCGACTATGATTAAAAGTATAGAATATACAAGTTATTAATGAAAAAGGATATAATTAAAGGAAGTCTGAAATAAATCAACGAATGTATACGTCCATATGAAGTTTACATTAAACCTGCCCACCTCCCCATTATCAACGAACGATAGAACGTACAGGAAGTTATCGACGTAGTACGCCACTTCAATACTTTATCGACGGATTCGCTTTTCCATTTTTAACGAGTTCAGCAATTATTATCAATGTCAGTAGCACAAGAAAGATATGATTGAAACTAAATGCGCTAAGATCAATAAAATCATTTAACAATCGTTGTTTAACATATTTGTACGTGTAACTTCTTGCAGATGTGTCACGTGCTTAAAGTAATTTTTTCAAATTACGTGTATTCTGTACCACAATCGTAAATTTTGTACCAAAAGTAATTGAAATTGTTATGCGTTTGTTTACCATTTTTCTACATAAACTGAATCGTTTATCTCTTAAATAAACCATCATCAACTGCTACATTTTAAAACTTGAAATGACGTATTTTCAATTGGAAATACAAAATTCATAAAAAATAATTATCAACCGATTAATTAATATTTATGAAAAAAATATAGATTAAAATAATACAGACATTTCGGTCTCGGTGTAGCGAGGGTTTTTCTTAATGATAAGATAGTAATATTTTTCAAATATGAGCTAACCGGTATAAAGTTTTTCGGCCACTCCGTTTTGGTCAATCGGAGCTGTGTTTTCATCCTGTTCTCCAGCACTTTTCAATCGACTAAGCTTCTCCTGTTTCTTCATCTGCTTTTTCTCACGTTTGCTAAGTTTCCGTCGGAAGCTGGAACCCTCCGAAAAGCCGACACCTTGAGCATTAGTCTTGTCGTCAATTCGTTTCAGTAAGAAGCGACCCTCCCGATCGTCAATGTGCCAGTTGAGTTGGACCAGCAGAGGTTTCTCTTCCAAGCCCAGCTTTCTCTCTTCTATAAAAACATAGAGATCAATTATTAGCACCCACAGGAAGAAGTTGACATCTTTAAAGAATCTCTACTCAAACACCCTTCGCGCGATTCTCAATATCGACTTCGAATATTATATAACGCGTTATGAATACAGTTCGGTTACGAGCGATACCCGGTCGAATTTGAAATTCCAATCGTCACTCAATTACCGTGTTCGCTGAACTGTTCAAAACCGGTTGCTCGATACCTTGGTGCATTCACTCCCAAAATAAATTTCGGCAGCAAGGAACGTTTCGCGTCTATTAGGAAGAACTTATTCAAATTAAGCTGTTCTATCGGGTTCGCACGAGGCACAACCCGTTCTAGAACACGTTTCTACCTTCCTAGGGTTCTTAACAACTTTTACTTAAATCAAATGATTTTCACGTATAAGAGTAACACGACGTAGACTCCATCAAAATGCCGCATGTAACGGCGTGATTAATTCTGAGAGAGAAATATAAAAGAAAAAAAGAAAAAAAAACATAGCAGATGAATAAATCAGCCAAGCTGTTTGCAGTAAATCCATGAATTCTTGCACCGCGACCGGCTGTATTTTGCTTTAAAAGAATTATTTGCACAAATTAGGATCTCTTTAATTATTGAAGCAACTATGGAGTTTCCAGAATTCTGCACCGTTGATTAAACTACACATATTTTTGACTGGAAATTCTATCTTACAACCTGTCGGATAAAGCTTTGTACTTCTTTTCCTCTCCGTCTCTATCTCTCTCTAAAGTAATTTCCGTGGTAAAAACAGAGAAAAAATGTTACTTTTCGAAAATATAAATGCGACGCCATCAATAACACGGGGGGCGCGTTTACAAAATCTCGTATTTTATAAAAAAAAAATCGTCGCTGTAAAACCCCAGTGGAAAAGCGTTCCATCCAATGTGGCGCTCTTTAATATCTCCCAGATAAACTCAGTGGGCGTAGAAAAACGCAAAAATGCGCGGATGGATTCATCAACAAGGCTGTTCACCGTTAGTTTCCCAACTCGAGTGTGAACGTACCTCCATTTTCGTGGATCTCGTAAAGCGCGTATTCAGGCACGGACAGCATCCGCATGTCCGGTCGGAACTTTTCGATGAGGGTTTCTATGACCGCTTGACTCGTCGCATCCGAAGCTACTCTGATGCATTTGGTCGCGACTTTTTGACCACTGTCTTGGAAGTAAAACCTCATGACCCCATGGAACTCCAGGTCCTGCAAACGACAAATAGAGAATTAGAAAAATAATCCAAACAAGTTCCCTTCCGATTTCCTGACCAAGAAATCAATCAATAACCTTAAGATCTCGACTAGAAAACATTTTGAGGAATCCGTAATTTGAAGAAAATTGATGTTAGAATTTTCTTTACTAAATATCCGAAGAAGAGACTCACGGTACTCATTCTTTTTCAAAATTGCTTCTCCGAATTTCTCAGGCAGCAAACGGAAAACACTTGAAAAATGCACTTTATTCACCTGGAGTCTCTTTTAAATTTCTTAAAGAGTTCTATCTCAGTTTGAGAAAAGTTGCCTCACCTCGTTGGGCTCCGAAAGTTCGAAGAGGTCCAGGCGATTGGCGTTCCACTGTTGAATAACGCCTCGAAGAGCCTCGCGCTCGGCCTTTTTGTTTGCCGCTTCCACAGCCATTCTGTAACGATTATGGAAGTCTGTCAGGCATCGTTTCGCGATAATAAAACTGGTTGCTCTTCATCGATCTTAGTCGACTTGAAACGAATTGGTCGAAACGACAAGTCGCCCTCCAGCTGTTGCTGGTAGACTGCATGGACGACAACTGAACTATACTTTTTATTCCGATTAATAGTAACTTAATTCTTTACCGAGTCATTGCATTCCGTGTGACATGGTTTTGCTTGTGCTTCTGAGTTAAAATGCGAGCTAATGTCACACCTTCGTAAAATGTTCCCTCCTCTGTATTATGATAAATACATAAGTAGAAGTACGTAATGAAAGAATGAAGAAATAATAGTTTTTAAAAAATGCGAAAATTATTAGTTTACTCTAGGCATTTCATTTTACAGAGATTTATTTGCTAAGTATACCAAATTCGTGAAAGTATAAGAAAATATCGAAGTAACGTTTCACCGGTTGGCAGCGAAAGTACATCAATTCTTGCAAGAACAATTTCATCCAATCGAGCTATAATTCGAACATAAACCTCCACCGAGTTCTCCTAGCATCCGTTCATCCTGCATTCACCCACTCCACGGAATGAATTATCCAACCGTCCTGACCACTCTAAAATTATCAAACGTTTACTATCTGCCCGCCAAACCAGTTTGTTCCATTAACAAGATTGGCAGTAATACATCAAAACCAGTCATACCGTGCTCCCGGGAAACACACTCGACGGGTAGGATAAATCCCATGGAGCCTAACGATCGGTAATTAAACTAATTAAAGTAGTTTATTCGATATCGAGCGGTTTTCTCAGCCTCGTAACCACGTCAGCATCGAGCTGAGTTAGCTGTAGCTAAGCGCAACATAATTAGACCCAGTTTCGCAATCCAAAAGTTCGAGAAACGGTAATTTCGAGCTGTAAGGTACGCCTTCGGTGTCACTGGGTCGCCCCACCGAAAACGGCTTATCAGCACCGAATGCGCTTAACATCGGCCCTCGGGGGCTCCTAAAGGCCGTTCCCAGAGCTCGTCACGACGTATATAGCATTGGTCATTACGCCGAAAGTGATTCTCAACACGTATCGCAGGCGTTATCGACTTTTACGCGGCCTCATCATCTTCCGCTATCTCTCTCGTCCACCATTTGCACACAATGCCGCGGACACACCCGGTATATATTGAAATATGACGAGTTCAAATCGCCGTGCATAATCGATGAATATATACGTCGCGAGTGTACATCTCGCCGAGGCTGCACGTACACATGACCGCAATCATGTATTTGCGTTCCTTAGTGAATGTGTAGGTATAATATGTACAGGCCATGACGAGTCACGAGTTCCCGCGTACATCGAGAGTCGCCTAAATGCAAGTTGTACGCACGTCGGAATGTCGATTACATCCTGCCTGTAACAGCGCGTTTTACAACAGGGAACCGTTGCCAGAACGGAATATTAACGACGGGGACAGTCGTTTATTAATTATTGCCGCGAGATTCTTCCGGTATCGATCTATACGTGATGAAAGAACGTCGTGTTAGAATTTACGAAACGGTTACGCGGCGATCGCTCGTTCGCGTTCACATCCAACTTCTAGGCCAAAAATGTTTCTCAAGGTTGTAAATGAAGATGATCCGCATCCTAGAGACTTACCCCAAGTGTTGCGTCTTAATCTCAAGGACTTGGAGAGCGACCATAGATTACAAATATTTTAAATTCTTGCCTAACGAATGGCTTGATTTAATGATCTTTTTTAGAGTGCGATAACGTTCAAGTGCACTTAAGAGAGAATTTTAAGAGCGCATTGAAAGAGGTCTACGACACGGACGAAATATCACGCTGCTAATTATCACACTTTCTCTGATATGTTTTTTTTAATTTAGAAGACGAGATAGGATCTCGTATCAAAACATCTTTGAATATATGACTCATGAAATGGATGCTTTATCTCGAAACTTGATTTTACCATGTCCGAGTTGTTCTTACACGACAATCAACGTTTCTCAGATGGATCGTGCGGTATAATCTCTTCGCGTTTTTTAAACCGCCTGCACATATTATGTAAAAATTGAAATATGTTTAAATAAACGGGGTGAAATACGTACGTCCAGAATATCCAACGCTCGTTGACGATCGGCTCGACGTGAAAAACCAAAAATAGCAATTTCCACGGATATATGTATTATCCATTTATATTCACTACTATTAACTTGCGGAATGATTTTACAGGAGATCGTCATTCCATTCTGGGCAAATGCTCTCCCGCTAATTAGCCGCGTTGAGCAAAAAATCAACATTAAAATCGAGCGCTTTGTCCGGCTATTGGTATCCGAAATCGTAATCGATCTCAAAGAAAATAAAGAAATAAAAAGTGTTGCACGTATTAATTTCCACCAGTTCGGAATTTCGAATCATATTTAATAATAATGACTAGCCATTTTCGAACGCAATGGCGACTCTGGAAAGGCGATCGCGTAAATCTTTCCCCTTTTCTCTCTCCCTCCATGCCTATCTACACGTGAGCACATCGACACTCGGCTCTGCATCGTATCGAGCATTAATCGCCATTTACGTGAGAATGCGACCTAAAAGTGACTCACGGCTTAACCGACTCGAATGCACTCGACACTCGTGGAGCCTCTCGAAAAGTTAATACGTCCCCGTTGGCAGGGTGCCGGCAAAATATACGCAGCCGATAAGCCAAGAGGGACTTTAAGACCCTTATTCAGATTTACCGTAAACATGCTGCGCGAACGGCCTGCTCTAAGTAACTTCAGGAAATTTTCGTTCGAGTCCTGCGAGTCCACGCGTGTACACGCATGCTCGAACAAAGGACTCGTCTAAGCCGAGGCTTAAACTTCTACTTCCAATCGAGGTCCGATATATCCGACCGCAGATTCCAAAGATTAGCCTTTACATTCTACTGGTTTCCGTTGCCGAGATGACCTCGCAAGCCCCTGCGCGATGTAGATTTGTAAATGAACGTATCGATACAACTCGTTGAAGCTTCCCCGGAATCGGATTTTTACTTCCTCGGAAGTAATTACGAGGTCGTTTTGATAAGCAATAGCGAATTAAATATTTTAAGATATATAGTTCAATTAGAGATTCAGATATGACATCCTTCTACATGATTACTCTCCTTTTAAGTACACGCTTCACCCTGTTACATCATTTTCTTTTTCCACGACAAAAAAATATTTTCGGTGTTGCCTTCAGCCAGAAATGCTTCGCTTCACTGACCGTGTTACTTTTGACTCTTTGCATCGCCTGATACTGCAACTCCTGACGAAGATTGAGATTCCAGGTCTTACAGCTTCCCTCGTACAGCCCTGACCTCGTTCCCTCTGATTATCTTGCGTTTGGACCCCTGAAGGACGCCTTGAGAGAAAGGAAATTTGGAAGTAATTACGAGTGTAAAGAAACGGTGCATTCCTATAGCGGAAGGCACAACCGAAAACCTTCCTTTCTGATGGAATAAAAAAGTTGGGACTACGGCGTGAAAAATATATCGAAAGGAGGGTGCTCATGTGGAAAAATGGCATACCACTTGTATCCGTAATTGCATTATGTATCTCTTAAAATATTTAATTCGCCGTTACTTTTTGAAACACCTTCGCATATCTGCCGAAAAGCCTGGTGGGTTTAAAATGAATAAATTCTTATCAAACTGGTGAAATATTTTTTATCACATATTAAAAGTGGTTTATATCCTGATAGGAAGAAACTATTCCCTTCCTCGTTATTTTTCGTTATTTTTCATTATTTTTACGAAAATATGCGGTACCATGTCTGCTACTGTGAGAAAATTAATTTGTTAAATTAAGTGTCGTTAAATTAATTAACCGATACGTTGAGTTTCGTCAAGACGATCGAGAGATTATTTGTAATTCGTGTGCAAGGCATTGAATAAATTCTACAACGCAAAGAAAGTCCTCTCCGGAATGATTCCGGGATCCGTTAAAGATCTAAATTGGAAATCGTCGCGCGATTCAACGGAGCGCGACATACCCGGATACGAATTGCGGGCCGCAATCTCAAATTATCCATAACTTTCTAAGCAATGTATAGGCGGCGACGAATACATCGAGGGGAAAACCAAGCGCAATTCAGCCCCGAGTTATAGGAGGAGAGGTCAATCGTCGTTTTCGTAGCGATTTATTTACTTTCAATAACAAAACGATCTCGGAAATCTTAAATTTTCTACATCGTGAATATTAAGAAATATAACCCTGATTTCTTACACGAGCTTTTCCAGAGGAAATTACCGTCTTGCTATTTTTCAAAATTAGCGCAGCACTTAAAAAACCTTGACAAATGAATATCTGTACGAGGGAAACATTTGTTGCATGGAGAAGTAATTATTTATCAAGAATGCAAAACTTGTTAAAAATTAAAAAAGAGAGAGAAAAGAATTTATCACGACATCGGCCGTAGCTGCACTCCACTTTTCCTTTGAACAATAAATATAAAGAGAGTACAGTTTCTATATCGAAATTTTTTCAACTGGCAAAGTTGTCTTGCTGCTCTTACTACACATCAGTGATTGAATTTTCGACATACTTTCTCTGTAATTTTTCCACCTCCCCTTGAAACGGTATTAACATCTTCCCGTCGTGCTAAGTATACACACAAAGTTTGGGACCCGTCGTCCAAATTTTCCAGAGGACTGGCGACACCAGTACTGTCACTCTCGGCGTGTCCACGCATGCGAGCGTAACGCCGGTATTCGGCCGGTATGCGTACTCGCTTCCGGAGCCGACATGAAGGAATGCGGACTACGCTGAAGTGGCCCGCTAAAATCTGGTCATAGGGACCGCTAACGAGCGCGGAATATTTTTTTCTCCTCGACTCCCCAAAAAGTGGACATCCTTCAAGCCGCCCCTAGCTCCCGCTCTTCTCCGCCGTGTGCAGCCAGGATTACTTTCGCTTCGTTACCGTAAAACACGCGGTCTAGAACGAGGCGCGTGCGGTGAAACTTGCATATTTAGACATTTCGTGGTAAGATACACTTTACCGACTTGGCCCGTTAAATCTTTACAGCCCGCGGATATTTAATAAGCGTGCGGCTCGCGCTTGCTTTCCCTCTCTAACCATTCATCATAATGCATAAAATAGAACCCAATGGCTTCTTTAGCCCCCGTGATTAATGTTTAGCTAACATATGTGTGTATAGGTGGAATGTTCTTGGGCACTATCGTGGAATTCAGAAATGTTCACATACGGGATAATTCACCTAAGCGTTTTACTTGACTTTTAACGGGAATAAATTCAAATATCGATTTGAAACCTTGGTCATTCGCGGAACGTTAAAGGTATTCTTTGGAATATATTTTTGATTTCACCGGTTCAACTAGAACTGGTTATCAACTTTATTATTTTAAACGGAATAATCTCATCCTCGTATTTCGTCAAGGCACTGGTAGGGTCGAGCGATAACGGTAATGCACTCTGTGTTCTTGAGATATAGCAAGACAGTACAGAATTCTATACGTCAAGGATCCATGTAGGAATAATAACAATTTCAAGTCGGTTTTTTTATTCCTCTTAAAGATCTATTGGAATCCCGAATGAATAACCCTATATAAACCCTGTACACGTCGGTTATATCGGACAAAAGGAACTATATTCGGTTCCTTCTGAAGACGGCATGAATTTTCCAAGGACAAAAATGAATGACATCTATTGTACAAGAATGCTGAACAGTTGCAATTATTATTTAACGCTTTTCTTAATTGAATACTTTGCTTGTAATTATTACCAAAATTGTAAAGACTGATGTTTTGACCCTGAAAGTCTTTTGCAAACTGAAAACCGAACAAAGTATTATTAAAAAAAAATCTAAAACATTGGAAACAGCTTCCACGTAATGATGAAGATGTAGCGCCGTGCAGTACATACGCTTGCTGAGCATCTGGTTCCCTGGGTATTGCGGCAAAAAGTTATGCAAATAATTAACACATTCAACGCCAAATTGGGCGCCGGTACCCTATATATTCGTTTCGGGACAGCAAATTCCACGTTTCCTTTGACGGGGAACGTGTTACCATTTTTGAGAATATTAAGGACCTGCTACTTTGACAGTATCTACGTGTCACCAAGTGACGTAAACGGTGCCCCAAAACTTTGGCGTTACTTCATAAAATAGTTGACTAAACCCAAGGATTGGGGTTAACGTAACGGTTTTTTTTTTTCAATCTTTACGGGCTTGTTACATCGTATAGATAAGGACCCAACGCAACGAATTCCATTAAAGCTATATTTTAGAGCCAAACGAACTTTAACGCACATGCAATCGCTCCTTCGTACCCTAGGTAAGAAAGCAACTATCAGGAAGATCGATTAGTTCCTTCTAACGGAAGGGAAACCGTCGGGAGAGTCGTTCGGCATTACCTTGGTACCGTTCCCGAAGAAAACAGAGCGTGTCCTACTCAAACGTCCACCCCGAGGGTAACCTGGCGTTTCCTTTCCATAGCCAATTATTGTTCTCTCGGGAAGTAACCGTCACGAGGGAAAACACAAAGTAACCCTGTCCGACTAGTGAACATGGGATATATGGTAAACCCGAAGCTGAAACACTTAACTCGGTGTGTTTCTTGCCAAAATCATGAACGTTGGCGCGAAAGTTTAACAACCGAGACGCCATAAGCGACCATATAAAATCAAATTTGAACGAACCTAATTGAATTAGGTGACATCGAATATGGAATGCCCCAATTATCAAGAACTTCGACTAAGCGAAGCTTTGTCCTATTCGCTATTTTCGAATTATTCTCCAAATATCACTCGATCGAATACCAAATATTCCCTTTAAAATATCAATCGATCAAATGCTATCTTATTAATCAAGAGATAATTGATGTGGTCCGGAAACAACATTTCCACTAACTATAGAGTAGCGATAAATTACGCTGCTTATAGATTCACGTGGTAGTAAAGTCGTACTCGTGTAGATACGTGTTATTGAACATGCGCAATCAAATTCAGAACAAGAATATCATGTACAGTCGACGATGGAATTACATTCGAAAGTTAAAAGATGCATCACGCGAACGTTAGTAGTATGCTCCGTCTGGATAACGCCCCGGAATTAATAACTCACTTTTTCGTCGCTAATAATTTATAATTTTAGCGGGTCGCCCCGCGGCGATTCGAAATTGCGCGTACGCTCGATGAACGGTTGGGAGACGCCTCGGAATTCGTAATTAAGTCTTCGAATGCAATAAGGGAGCATAACGGGGGTATGACTGCGGAGTTATGTTCCCTCGACTCCGACTGCTCAATTCAACTTTTCAATATTACCGGCTCTGAATTTGTATCGTTCCAGTAAAGCAAAGTACTATCCGATCGAAGAAGGAAGGACGAGAAAAGAAGCAGGTCGCAGAATCGGAAAATTTTGCGCATTTTGATGTCACGTGCAATTGCTAAAGAAATCTCTTATTCGTAAAGTACATATTTTCTGTACATTTAACGTATCGCTAAATGATGACCGGGGTAATTAATTCGGAGGTATTTCGAGGTAAAAATACTCAAAAAGTTTTTCGCTTTTTAGGTATTCATAATTTTTGGACGCCGAACGGTGCTCAATATTTCACAAATTTCAGGAACCCATTCTTCCGGTTCGGGACCACCGGCAAAGTTTCTCTTCAATTATAGGTCGCACCTAATTCATGACCGCCCTCCTACACTTATCTCCAAGGTACTAAGAAATCTTACCGTTGTACCTGTAAAAATATCGGAAAAATTTTCCCCTTCATTTATTCTTTTCCATTCGTGACAAGCGAACTCGTTTAGACGTCCTAGCGACACAAATGATCTTATTAATTTTATCGAGCCATTCTTCTCCCGACGAATCATTAGAAACCACTTTCGCCCAATAGTTAATAGCTTTTAATGTGTGAATACAGACCCGGAGCCGTTAAGTTACAGAATATTCTTTAACACCAAACCTACCATCGGCGGGTCAAGTTGACCGGTTTAAATGGTATTTGTAATGGGGGTATAAATCGTCGGTAGGTTTAGTGTTAAAGCTGTTTAACATCGTCCGAGCGCGTTCTTGATAACTCATTGGCTCGCCGAAGCGTGACACCTTTTAACTCGTGATTCGTTTCTCATTCAATCAACGACTCGATGGGTTGCTCCGAGAGAGCTGAGATATCTACACGCTGGACTAGGGTGTCTCGTTTGAGTCACCCGAGAAACCATAATTTGTCCATTAGTTATATGTAGTTCGCGAACCGTGGTCCGACGCGCCGAGAAGATCCCACACCAAGCCCCGAAGATGTACCAAGGGCGATACGTCAGCCTAGATTTCAGGCCATTCTTAGCTCGTTATTGGTCGCAGATCGAACCCGTAACTCACCCCGCTGGTACCAGGGGGT